AAGCAAATGCTTCTGAAGTTATAGAAGTTGCTCTTTGAAATATTAAGAAGTTGAAAAGTTTGGAAATCTCTAGAGCTGCCTTACGTATCGAACGGGAACAATTACCTGAACGCGTCACCTGATGGGAACGAATGCTGTATGAAATTTGTGCTGATCTAAGCAGCTCACTTCAGTTGGGCAATTAGCAAAACGTCTGTAATGCACCGTGACACAATGTCGTAAAAAACAAGGTTTTCTGGCCGATTTTTGTTTTCTTTTTTTTAAATATTCCTAAATCTAAGAACAAAACGTTGATATATTACCACTTTCCATTTCCTAGATGCAGTGGCTGCATTAGTTTTCTTTATTCAGGTGCAGAACATTTTCAGCAAGATATGCAGCATCTTTATCCTTGAACAGGACACATAAAACAATGATCCCAGAGGCGTCCCGAGGCGGGGTGACACCCGGTGCGGGTACCAAGTGACACCCCGCGCGGGTACCAAGTGACACCCCGCGCGGGTACCAAGTGACACCCCGCAGTGACGTCATCGCGCATGCGTGTGATATCATCACGCGCGGTACCGCTGTTACCTGCCGGCGCCATCTCGGTGATGGACGTCGGTGCTCTATCGAAAGTTCCAACTTATCGAGTTCTCCAACTGCCTGACTCCCGGTTTAGTTAGAACTAAGAGGTTTGCCCAAGAAAGCTCTTCTGCACGAGCGCCATCCGCGGCATTGCCCTATACACATACACCACAGCAATGAAGTATTACAATGAGCTAGGATCACACTAATACAGTACATTATTAATCTCAGGTGCCCCACTCAATATGGCCGCCGCTTGATTGGGGCACCTGAGATTAATAATGTGCTGTATTAGTGTGATAGTCAATAGTAAGTTTTAGTCAATCACATTCAACTGGACTTGTTCTGTAATGTTGAAGACATGTTATAGCTTCTCCAAGCCACTTCTTCAGTTCTAATAAGTGCCAGAAAACATACCCCAGCATATACACAGGTAGCACAGACACCTCAATCCAATCACCAATGAATGTGTCAAGGCAGATGTGGATTGTCCAAGAACAGCATGGGAGGTATGAAAGTTGTGGAAACCACCCTGTTCAAGTTACATAATCCCATCCTCTGTGTCAAAGAGTCTGCGTAGGTGCCAATCCTTGGAATCGCATGGCTGAAGGTGTGACTTGTCAAATTGCCAGTGTGGAGATGTTAAAGCAGCATTATATGCAGAAGACACAAATTGGAAAAGACGGAAGCGCCACTACCTGGCGCAATAAATGTGGTTGGGTGTGGCAGGAAAGAAAGGTAATGGTCTCACCTGTAGCTGGGTGAGCGTAAACGTGTGGCCCCTTGGGTGGGGTGAAGCGGTGAAGTCGAGCGGTGGATTCGGTCCCCTTCTCTGTTTGTTGGCTACGGACCCTCGTGTCCGGTAGTGCGGTTGGGGACACAAGGGTAGAAAGACCGGGGGTGAGGTTATTTGGTAGGCAAAGTAGGGGTGGACTTCTGAAACTCACCGTTGGGATGGAGGAGGCATGATGTCAGCGACGACGGTCAGGTTGGTGTTTAGCCAGGATGCTGATGGGGTAATCTTCTGGGTGGCTGTTGTCCTCGGGGTCCTGATGGTGACTGCTGGTGGCCGGAGCTGCAGGGTGATGTGATGTCGACGGGAGAGCCGAGGGACGGCCGGTGCTGTACCTGGGAGCCGCGGGGCAGAGGAGCTGCCGGGATGTCACAGCGAACGGCTGTTGACGGAAGTGCTGCCAGAGGGAAGGTGATGGATTCTTCTATTGACCAATCGGAGCGGAGGTGTAATCTCGATGGGGATGGTGGAATGATTTCGGCGAGAATAGTGTGTCACAGGCTGTCAGATGCTGTGGTGGAACGGGCGGTGGAGCGCGGTGTCCGAGAGCGGGTGCCCACACTGTGCCCGTGCTGAGATGGAGTGTTTGGAACACTCATCAATGTTCAGGCCGTGGTAAGCTGTGGCTGGCGACGCGTTTCGAAGGGTGACCCTTCTTTTTCAAGCCGGAGTGCAGGGACCCCCTGACGAGCGCTTCACGCGGGACAAAACTCTTCTAATTTTTCATATGCAGAAGACAGGTGGTGTTGAAGGCCTCCTACCATTGTTCAGGGATGGTCATTCCAGTTTAATGGCCTCTTTCACACCTCTTGCGAAGCAGTTGACCTTTCTGTCCAACATGTGCACCTCACTGTCCTCAAAAGAGTGTCCTGGCCTGTAGAATTTGCTTTCCTATGTTAGGCCATACATTTATTGAGAGGTTGTGTTGACTCCCCGGTGTTTGCATCCCTCAATACACCAAGTCAAGCTTCTAGCTCAGAGTATTGCTGTGCTAGAAAGACACAAGGATTTTTAATGATCCTTCTGCATTTTTTGACATTCCAGCTACATATGGGATGACTATATTACCCCGTGTCTTCTGCTTCTCTGATTTGTTCGATGGTCCTGTGTTGTGTTGTACTTGTGTTTTTTTTGTTTTTTTAAGGAAAGCTCAGTCTTGGTAGCCACAAACTTTTAAAGCACTCCTAAGATGTCTGTGTTCTTTGTCTATAGAATTTGTATTTGTTGTTACCATCTTAGCCTGATCATTCTGATGCTAGATCGACCAAAACTGATATTTCAGTGTTTGGTGCATGCCTGGAGAGGTAAACCCTCATATCCATCTGGGATCGTTTTGGTGAGATCTCTGTTCCTGGGTCTGCACACAGGGCTGAATTTCCCAAAAGGCCAACCAAGACCCCCGGTGTTGGGGCAGCAGGGAGTAGAGGTGCAGCAGGGGTGTGGAATTCCTATTCCCCGATGCCCCGCACATGCAGTTCCAGACGCTGGGCGGGTCGTTTTTTATACATTTAGCCCTGCTTTGGGCAAGCAGAGCTAAATGTACAGCGGGGAAGCCGCTGCTTGTTTTGTACAAGTGATCTCGGCGATATCGCCGAGATCACTTGTATGCAGCCTGCAGGTCTGCCATTCTCCATTAGGGGGTTGGCGGGTAGGGGGGCGCATTGAGGAACCCGGCCTTGGGGCAGCAGAGAGAGTATATCCGGCCCTGTCTGCACACCTCCTGTGGCTATTATTAGGAGATTGCACCATCCCTTCTGGAATTTATATTAATTTTGTATTATGGACAACAGAAGGAGCCGGAAAACACGAGGGCTGATTGAGACCTCCAGAGCTCCCAAGTGGAGAGGAATAGGATTGAGAATTATAGCAGAAAGATCTCATATTTCAGTATACAGGACATATAAGAAGCCAGAGGCTGCCTCAGCACACCATACCCAACCTAAAGCTAAAATATATACACATTAGAGGCAGCTAGGGAATGACAGATCATTATTATTATTATACAGGATTTATATAGCACCAACAGTTTGCGCAGCGCTTTACAATATAAGGAAGACATTACAATCGCAATGCAATTCAAGACAAGATAGTAAGGAGGACCCTGACGGCTTACAATCTAAAGGGAGGGGCCAGTGATACATGAGGAGGTAGCTGTGTGGGGATGAATTGTTTGAGAACGTGATGGTTCAGTGGTTAGGTTGAGGTGGGATCACAAAAGATCATAAAAGGAAATGTTTTTGGTTTTGCTGCAGGATAGTTTAAAATTTTTAGCTTCCGTCCAGATTTGCTGGAAGGCATCTGTTTTCCAAAGGAAGCCCAGTTTTCTAGCCTTTCAGTGAGATGTGCTATTCAGATGATTTATTTAGCTTCCTGCTTTGGAACCTTCTGTAAGTAGCTGTAGAAATAATGTAAAATAGAAACAAAAAGTGGAGTTTTCCTTTAAGCTCGCACACAGGCTCCCCAGGCTGTTTATCTTTTGCTTATTAATTTTTTTGGGCGATGTGCGTCTAGTCCAGACAAGACGGGGAAAAAGCAGCAGACTCCTAAATCTTTTATCCACCTTGTGCCAGGAAGCTAAGAAGAAGAGGCAGTCATAGTCTTATCTCAGTTCTCTCTTCCAGCTTCTGTCGGCATCTTTTATTTAAACCTTTCCTGGCCCTAAAGCTTTAATTTTCCTCTCTCTTTCTCTTCCTCCTCTTCCTGAAACTTGAAACAAGAGAAGCGGGATGGGAGCAGGTTCCAGCCCAAGGGAGGCTAGATAAAATTACATTATTGCTAACAGGCGTCTATTTGGCGCCAATCCGCCTCCTCCCTCCAGACAATAGAAGTACTGAGATGACTCCGATTGTAAAGAGCAGTTTCTTGCTTTGACCGGGGCAGCCAACAGGGAAGACTTCTGAAGGCTTGTATGTTATTGGCTGTTATGGGTTACTGGTGATAAGCCAGAACTAGGCATATGTATAAATATCATTTTAGGGGCCAGAACCAATATTAATCTTGAGTTAAAGGAATTATTACATTTGTGTTTTTACTGCTTAGTATGGATTTTATTTGTTCAATACTGATCATGTAGGAGACCTTGAATACTTTGTTAACTAGGGTTCCTACAGAGGTTGTTAGGGGTTCCTTGGTCAGTGAGCAGTTGTGGTTTAATCTCCTACCTGCATTGCCTTCATAGTTTCAACACCAATGTCACACAGCAATGACTTAGGACCAGTGACTATTAATGACCTCAAATATTATTTGCACTCTTTCCCCCTGACTGCTAGTGTAAGGAGTCACTTCTCCATTGACCATCAATATAAGGGGGAGGTGCTCCTCCACAGAGACACCAAAGAAGGAGGCACTACATTTATCATCAATGCAATAGGAGCATTTTTCCACTGACCACCAATGTAAGGGGGGCCATTCTTCAATCAATAAAAAGGTTAACAAAACAATTAAATTGACCAAAAATCATTATACTTTACATTTCTGTAGCATTAATACTGAATATGATGCTCTTTAGACTGGTGTTTAAAAAATAAAGAAAAACGTGAACTGGCTACGAATGATCTGCGCATGTCTATTGTTCTGTACAGTATGAGCAGATTGCAAAGGGTTAGTCCTTACATTTCTGGTTTGTCTCTTTTTTGAGCAGGTTTATTCCAGGAGAAACCTCGCAGCCTTCAAAACAACATCCGGACCTCATCAGACAAGAAGAAGAGAGGCTCGCTGTCAATGGGGAGCTCACATGGAGTCTTCAGTGACACCGGACATGAAGGTAATGACTACATGGACCAACCGGTGAAACTTGAGAGCTTTAAACTGCTCTGATCTGAATCGGGAACAAAAGTCTGTGCTGCAGTCTGCACTAGTGGCTTCTATTTTGTGCTTCATGCACTGGTCATGAGGAGGCCCACAGCTGGTCTTCAATAGAGGTGCACCGAAATGAAAATTCCAAAACCAAAACCGAAAATGTTTTTTATTTTCACTTCAAATTTTTAAAAATATTTTATGTTTATTTATTTTTTATAAACTTTTTAATTTTTTTCTATTTATTTTTATTTATTCATTTTTTATTAAATATTTTTATTTTTTTACTTTCTGGGAAATATTAGGGGTCTAAACAGACCCCTGATATTTCCCATTTAAAATAGAAAAAGAGATTGAGGACATTGAGATTGAGTCCTCAATCTCTTTTTCTGCTTTCCCTGTTATAAATGAACAGGAATCCTCTATACTGAGTGTTCCTGTTCATTCATAACATGAGAACAGAGTATGTTTACTATATCCTCAATCATGAATGAACAGGAAGTGATACAGATCACTTCCCATTCGTTCATAATTGAGCATATAGTAACCATACTCTGTCATCAATTATGTAAAAACACTCAGCGATCACTGATCCCTGACTTGTTGTACCCGCTCTCCTTCCTGACAGCTGTCACAGGAGGCTGAGCGAGCGGTGCGGGGAGGAGAGCTGTCTCCGCCCCACACTGCTCTCCTCTGATCTGTGATAGGAGGCTGAGCAATGCGAGGAGGAGAGACGCCGGCCGCTCACAGCGCTCTCTTCCCGCATCGCCCGGCCGCCTGTGACAGTTTCTCTCCTCCCCGCTGGGACACAGAGCAGCGCCCAGCGGGGAGAAGAGAGAAAGAACGGATGCGCTGCTATATCGGCAGAAAATAGCACTTTCGGCATTATGCCAAAAGTGCTATTTTCGGCCGATATATCGGTGCATCCCTAGTCTACAATTGTGGCGGGCAAGGACAACAAATTACTTGGGGTTCAGGAAGTCAGCTGATTTGCATGTAATAAACCCTCCCAGTTTCAGAATCAGAGACAAAATGAGCAGCATACAGTATACTGTATAGAGAGTCATGGCATGTTAAATTTAAGTGCGTCTTCCTTTGGTGAACATGATAGCAGCCAGAAGAGGACCTGTCCTGTTGATGACCATTTGTAAAAGTTCAATTGGTTTTCTCTTCTTGCTCAGATCTACAGAAAACAGTGTACATCACAAGATGTCTATGGGAAGGACGGACTACAATATATAGACTGTCATTGAACGCTACGGCTCCAGCACCCTGGCTGTCTAACCTGCCCCGTGACGATGATGTTACCTCTTTCCAGGTACGGGAGATATGCAGTGACCAACAGTATTGCCCAATGGCTACAGGGCTCCATAATCAGTCCAAGCAAAAATGTATATTTTCTGTATGGTCAAGCCACCCCACCCACTGGTTTCTTATTGGTTGTATGTTCTCCAGCAGTGAGGTCTCTGAACCTCAGTTCCCAGCTCTGCCCAGCCATTACATTAAGCCGTGAAGCATTTATCATCCCTCAACGTATCCAATCACTTGCAACAACCTAAAACCATAAGGGCCAAAGTGGCTTGTCTTAGACCTAAAGTCCCATCCAAGGGGGGGTATGGCGGACCTTACTCTTCATTATTCACTTAGATATGGATTGAGAAGAGATGGAAAATCCAATTTCTCCATGCTTTTTAGCATGCTGGTCCTCTTTCATAGTTCTTGGAGCATGCGTTGTTAGAGTGCTGGACCCCAGATTACTAGACCTCATGAGTCAAAATCTTACTTTTTCAGGCAGCTCTCGGTCACCTGGCGTATTTAAAAGGGTCCCAGGAAGTTGACATTTTCAGAAGGAGCTCAGCAATAGTGGCCCACATTTTTCGGATTCCTTAGAAATTCATGTAGGAAGGTATTTTCGGCTGGGCTCCCGCTTTGTTTTGCTGTTTTTAGTACTTTTGACAGACGTCACGTTTTACTACATAATTTACCGTATTTGCCGGCGTATAAGACGGGGTTTGAGATAGCGCCAAGAAGGTTAGTAAGCTGGAATACCGCCAAGGAGGTTAGTAAGTGCATTTAAACATTGTTTTGGGCTATACTCGTCTTATACGGCGAGTATAGCCCAAAACCTATATTTTAACACATAAAGTAGAGGGTCGTCTTATACGCCGGCAAATACGGTAATAGTCTGTAACTGAAATATAATCTTTCTAAGCTTCCATTGTTGAATGCCTCAGACTTTTATCTTCCCCGTCACAATGAACAAAACAAACAATGAAAACACACTTGGTGGGGGGTTGGGATTGTGCAGCCGTTTCCTGAATGATAGGTACGAGCAGATAGATTTCCGGGGAATTGATTTCACCATCAGCAAAATTAGGGAAAATCGTAATCCAGAGCCGTAGCTAGATTATTTTGCTCCCTAGGCAAGAACAGAAAATTGTGCCGCCCCCACTAAACTGACCCCTGACACTTCCCTTTTTTAACTGTGGCCGTCCCCAGTTATTTACAAACACTGGAGTGATCAGCTATCACTCACTGATATTTACTGATCCTTTCGCTCTCAGGGGGGTAGAGCAGGGTACATTGTCACTTCAGGATTGCCGAGCGGTGAGGAGAGAGTCGCCGGCTGAAGCGCTTCATTTCTCATCGGATCCCCGCTGCCTCTGCCCATACAGGAGGGGAGAGCAAAGGGGATCCAAGGAGAAGCTGGAGCCTGTGCCGCCCCTCTTCTCCCTACCGAGCCGCAGCTGTGTTGGCTGCCTGGCGCCCCTTTTTCCATGGCGCCCTGTGCTCGCCATGGCAACAGGGGAGAGGGGGCACAGCCAGGCCGGTCCTGGCTGTGCCCCCTCTCAGCTGCGCCTGAGGAGAGTGCCTCACTCGCCCCATGGTAGCTACAGCCCTGCCGTAATCTCTCGCGTTGCTCATTGAACTGCTTCTGTTTAAAAAATTAACTTTTTTCTTTACTTGGAAATTGCTTTTGGGTTGCAATGAGGCTATTTTAGTTTATTCTTTGTAGTGTTCCTTGTCTTTGTGTTTTTTCTATTTTATTTTTTTTTAGGTATTTGAATGTTATTTGTAGAGGTGCACCAAAATGAAAGTTTCAAAACCGAAACGAAACTGAAATATACTCTGTCCTCAATTATTTACACTCAGCGATCACTGACTGCTTGTACCAGCTCTCCTTCCTGACAGCTGTCACAGGAGGCTGAGCAAGCGCTGCGTGAGGAGAGCTCAGCCTTCTGTGACATCAATGACAGCTGTCTCTGTCCACACTGATCTCCTCTGATCTGTCACAGGAGGCTGAGAATTGTGGGAGGAGAGACGCCAGCCGCTCACTGTGCTCTCCTCCCGCAGTGCTCAGCCTCCTGTGACAGATCTCTCCTCTCTCCTCTGGGACAAAGAGCAGCACCCAGCAGGGAGGAGAGAAAGAACGGATGCAACGCTGTATCAGCTAGAAAATGGCACTTTCGGCATTATGGCAAAAATGCCATTTTTGTTTCGGCGGCCGATATATTGGTGCATCCCTAGTTACTGGCACCTTAAATTTTTTTTTTTTTTCACTGCCTATTTTTTTCTTTCCATAATAAAATAAAAAAAATGAGGCTAAAGAGGGGCCATTTTTTGGGCACAAGAGGTGGTCCAGGATAGTGGAAAGCAGTGGCATGCAGTACCTCTTGTTCCGGGTGAGGCATTCCCCAGTCTCGCCCCCAGCACGTCCCAACGCCCCCACAAACCGATGCCCCACCCACCCCTAAGCCGTCCCCCAAGCTAGTGTGAAGGAGGAAGGGAGGAGACAGGGAGGAGCGTCCCTGTCCCTCACTGCTGAGGCATCGAGATAGATGTCCTGTGTTTTTTTTCTTCTTTTTTTTGATTGGACACCTTGGACCAATGGCGCTTTGCCATGGGTCCAAGCCATCCACCGAGCTCACGCCTCTAACAAACAGTAGAGGCTGTGACAGCTCTTGCCCCACGAAGTTAGGTTACACAAGCAGTGGGGAAGCCCGCTGCTGTGTAACCTAACTACCTGTCAAAAGCCGGATGCAGCGCTGCCTGTAATTAACACACAGCGCTCCGTCCATGACAGGTTACACAGCGGGGAGGATTTCCCTTCTGTGTAACCTGTTAGATGCCGATCTGAATGGAGGAAAAGCTGTCAGCTTCAGACTTGAAGCTGACAGCTTTTTCCTCCATAATTCTAGGTGAGGCTCCGCCTCCCCTGACCGCATGTCCCTGGTGAAAAGGAGCTTCATCAGGAACTATTTAAAGCCCACTCCTTAAAATACTCAAAAACACCTTAAAGTAGTATTAAATGCTCAAACTGTTTTGCAGTAATGAATCCCGTGTCTGGCCGCCATTAGCAGTTTGCAGCATCTTTGCTGAGGCAATGTCTATTTGCATGTAGCTCAGTACGATGCTCTCTACGATATGCGATGGAGCAGCTCAGGCTCACCGGAACTTTTCATCTCCTTGCTCCTGCCGATTAGCATCATTTTAGGGCAGATGAATAAACAAAACAACAAGGGCCTCACAGCGATTTCATTCCAGACCGCTCCGCTGAGTTCTCCGAAGCTTCAGATTTCCGCAGAGCCCGTCTCGCTTGTTTAGGAACGCTTCTTCATTTTTTTTACCCTAAAGACTTTCAGGCAACGTAGATAAAGATTTTCCTGGCAGAACTCTCCCATGTCATAGCTGTTTAAGCAGCTCACGTCCACGTAATTCCATCTCGCCTCAGATTTGCATCAGCGCCGATAACACAGATGGAAAGAGATAGCGCTGTAAGGCCGCCGTCTGCGCTTTGTTGTGCTGGGAGAGAGATTACATCTCAGTGATCCTGGAAGTAAGGCAGGCTAGCTGGGAATGCAGTAAGGCAGCAGAGGCAGCTGCCTAGGGTGCACACATGGCTGGGGGGATGCAGAGAGAACACAGGTTCTGCTTGATGAAAAGCGAAGCATACACAGAGCCTCAAGAGCAACCGCTCAGGTTTCATTATAATGAAGCACATGGGAACTTTATGAAAACTGCAGTTAAAAAAAAAGGAATAAATAAATTGATAAACAAGTTGTATAGCTGCCCCATGGTTTTATCTAAATCTTTATGCTTGATCATTAAATGATAACTTTTTCTGCATTCCGCAGATGATCACGCTTGATGCTTGCTATAACCGACATTCAGCAAAGTTGATATTTGCACAAGATCCTTCAGGGGGCTTTCAAGGCGGATCGGAAAGGCTGACTCAATGTTGATATGTTTGTTCAGCCGTCTGCAAAATTGTGAGACACAAGGGGGCATTGGAGGGGACATTGTGGGACATGAGGGGGCATTGGAGGGGACATTGGAGGGGACATTGTGGGACATGAGGGGGCATTGGAGGGGACATAGGGGACATTGGAGGGGACATTGTGGGGCATGAGGGGGCATTGTAGGGGACGTTGGAGGGGACATTGTGGGACATGATGGGGCATTGGAGACTCAAAACTGAATGATATCGGGCCCAAAGTTGGTCAGCTGGGTTGGATTGATTCACACGGCCATTCTGGGGATCCGTATTTGCACCAATACAATTCAATGGCCGATAATAGTTTGTTCTGGTTGTTTTTCGGTCGACTTTTTTTTTTAGGGGGGGAGGTTCTTAAAACTGAGCCAGCATGGGAAGAAACATCACTGTGAATGCTTTATGTGTCTACACTGGTGATGATGCTGGGTTTGGTGAGAATCCAGTTCTCATGAGTTCACCCAAGCCTGCTCAAAGCTGTGATGGCCACTTACCACTCCCAGCCCATTTAGTGGTGGCAGTTGCGGTGGGGGCATTCCCAGACCGTGTGACGAGTAATTGCAGGGTGGGGAATGCGTCTCTCCGCAACCGATTGGGTAGGGAGGGGGGCGGTGGTCACAGGTTTGAGCGGGCTTCAGTGAACTCGGTTCCCACCAAGGCCAGGCTCATCACTAGTGTAGACACATAGAATGATGTCAATGGCAGATTATATGGCCAATAGTTTGTAGACACCTGACCATCACAACCACCATATATGGCCAAAAGTATGTGCACACCGCTCAGGTTTTATTAATGGGGACTGTTAAAACTATAACATACAAAGACATTTTAGACAACTGTGACCTTGTGGCAAGAGTTTGGTGTTGGCTCTCTTTCTGTATCAGCATGACTGTGGCTCTGAGCACAAAACCAGCTCCATAAAGAGATGGTTGGCCAGTTTAGTTTGAAGGAACTTAAGCGGTCTCTACAGAGCCCTGACCTAAACTCCTGATTACTTTTGGCAGTACAATGGCAGTTGTGAGTCAGGGCTTCTCATCCAACATCAGTACCTGACCTTTACAAATGTTGTTATGGCTGAATGGGCACTCCTTTCCATAGACCAACTCCAAAATCTTGGAGAACACCTTGCCAAGGAGTTGAGGCAGTTATAGGGGGAGCCAGCTTCATATTCATGTTCATGGTTTTGGAATGGGACATCTAAAAAGCTCATATATGTGTGTGAGAGTCAGGGGTACACAAACTTTTGACCATAGAGTACATTTCTGGAAGTGTTGGTTGCACCAGTGGTGGACATTGTTACCAAAGCCCCCCCACCCCCCTGTAAAAGAAGAATTTTGGGCCCCTGTTCAAATGCTGGCTAACAGTAGCTTTTGTGATATCGAGAGAGAGAGAGAGAGAGAGAGAGAGAGAGATCACCCCCCTCTCAGTCATGTCTCAATGCAAAAAATGCAGGAAGTGAAGGCATTCCTCTGGCTGGATATAACAAACCAGGATCATTGTTTTATTCATGGGGGAAGCCTCCTATTCTCATCTACTTTAGGCGTGTGCGGAGTCTACATCTATGTAACAGTGGTAGGAGCTACCAGAATCCACCCAAATTAGCCCCCAAGTCCCAGCGCGTCCTCCAAAAACGTCCCTTCTTACGGTGTAGGAAGACCGCTGAGTCTTAACCTGCAGAGTTTGCCCTTTGTTGGGTCTGAATGGCAAGCTTTGTGTTGGGTTGAGCGGTGAAACGTCTTCAACATTACAAAACAAGTCCAGTTGAATGTGACCAACATAGTTACCCTAAGCAAAATCACCATTTTCCCTTTTCATCAGCTGGCCCTCACCAGCTAGACCCCGTTCCATATATATGCCTATGAATTCCTGGGTTTAATACTAGTTTCAACAGTCAAGAGCATAGAAGGGGTCACTTGTAAATTGGACCATAATGAGCTCAAATATTTAAACTGATGAAAAAGCTTGGGGCAACCTCAATGCTTTATTAGAGAAAAACACGACGATGTGCCTTAGCTCACAGCAAGAACCGGTTTGATCCCAGCAATAAATAGCCGTTTTCATTGCCATGGGTAAGAGAAAATAATCACTACTTGCACTTTATTTTAACCAAATTTTATTTATTTTTAGGTTTTTCATAGAAACAATAACTATGAACTTGATTTATACCAGAATTACATTTTGTAACAAGCTTAACTATCCATTCATAAGGGCTTATTAAGAGCCTAATGTATTTTCTTACAGGAAATAAATATTGCAATATAAGATATTGTGAACAGGCCCTAAGGCTGACCATGCTTATGCTAAGCTTTGTTTCTGAACCATCGAGATAGCATTCATTCCCTGACCAGGGATGCACAACTCCTATTCTTTAGGGCCCCTAACAGGTCAGAATTTTGGATCCGACTACCATTATGCCCAGGAGGAAAGACCTATGCTGTGTTTTCAGTACCTGCTATAAGGTTTACATTAAAGTTTATCGATAGCCATTTTTTTTTTGGTTTGGATTGAGTGAGGAAATGTTAGAACCTATGCCAGTTTTTTTTTTCAACTTTAGATTTTTTTTATTGGTTTACATGCATATAAGGCATTGCTGTGTACATTCATAATGAACAAGCAGGTACATTGGCACATACCGCGTTTCCCCGAAAATAAGATTAAACAGACGAGTGGGCGGGCATGCGTGCGGCCGGAGGGGCGTGTCTGGCAGGGGGGCGGGAGGGAGCTGCCTCTCTGCTCTGATGCCATCCAGAGAGCAACAGCCAGGTGGGTGAGGGGGCGGGAGGGAGCAGCGGCCGGTCTTCACATGTAAAATTGAATTACATGTGCAGCTACCCCGAAGGTAAGATCTAGCGCTATCTTCAGGGATGTCTGTAATATAAGACCTACCACCGAACTAGGTCTTATTTTTGGGATAGGTCTTATATTACACAAATCCCCGAAGATAGCGCTAGGTCTTATTTTCGGGGTAGGTCTTACTTTCGGGGAAACACGGTAATACATCCATCAGACATCACATAAACCGTATCACCTGAAATCTTTTACATTCCAACTAGTCGTAGATATACACTTACCTCTGCCAGTTTTTTAATGCTTGGGGGAATAAATAGGTATTGTTGGAACAATGGGGTTTCCTATTGGTATTTTATTCAATAGTATCAAAAGGGGTGTCTGGATCCTGGGCTGCCGGCTTCTACACTCCAAAGGATTTTCTCAGTTCCTTGGTTTGTAATGCAAAGAAATAGATCTGAGATTGCAGCACCGCACCACGAATAAGGGCCCGCTCACACCAAAATCAAAAAGTAATTGCAAGTCATCGGACGTTAGGTTGACTTGCGATCGCACCCTCCATTTTACTTCTGTTGCACTGTGTTCCTTTTTTTTTTCTTTTTTGGGCAATCTTTATGTGAAGTCACATGTCCTGAGTGGGCATACATCACTGTATTGCCTTTTCCTCACTTGTGTTGCATCGAAATGCATTAGCATGTGTTGTGTGTGCTCTACTTTTTTTTCAGCTCACTGCAATGCATTGCAGTAGTGTGAACTGGTTGCATTCACACCCATACATTGTTTGGTGCCCTTGCGTTAGCATCAGTTGAAACACAGATGCCAATGCAACGGAACTGGTGTGAATGGGGCCTTAATAGTCCAGATGCAAATGTATTCCAATGTAAAATCAGGCGCAATACTATACAAGAAATCCAACATATTTCAGAGCCCCCATCACCAGAGTTTAAGAATAGGAAACAATGTATATAGAGCGGATTGCGGATACAAAATTTATGATGTTTTGTCCAATTATGTGAACAAGCACAGTCAGCACCTGGTTTGAACAGCCAGCACTGTGCAATGCCCATCTTCTGTGACCATTAATGGGGGTCCCAGTCTCCCTTTTGGTGTTTTGCAGATAATGAGGAAGGATATTGTAACTCTAGAATCTCCCCAAGACATGAGAAGTCATTGTGTTATTTAGCCTACCACTCTTCCCCCATAACCACAATACTCTCACGCCATTTCAGCTTTGGGTGGACTGACCCTTTAATTTAGGAATTGCTAAAGGTCTGTGATAATCACAGCCCCTGAGGAATGGAGATGTGCAACCCCGTCTAGTTGGCGGCACTCTGTGCTAGGTGATTTCTTCTCAGTCTCTGAGGAACAATGGGGAGCCAACTAAAATATTATGTTATCAGGGACGCTGCTCCCCCATGGCTGTCTTATTCAACCATGGGTATCTTTTATAGGGAGTCATGCCAACAACCCAGTTGTCTGTATTGCGTGACAGGCTCTCTCCAAGCATGGCCACCCTTAGTGCCTTTCTAGCTGTCCCGGTCTTATTATGTTGTTAGGGCTGAGAACACAGAGAACGCTCAGGAGTGCAGAACAGAGGCTGCCACCTTGTAAAATATGTGTTTTCGTTAATTGTTTAGGTGTATAAGATTCCTTACGGTAACTACACCAGGAAGCTGACCGCTTGTGTGTCCACCATAGGGCTGCAGAGTGACGTTTGTCCCAAGAAGTGGATGATAACTTCCTCAGCCTGCGACTCTCGCCGAGGATGGAAATTCGACTTCAGCTTCTACGCTGCCGACAGGGAGCAGAACAACACCAGGTAACTTTCCACCTTATAGAAATCGCAGCAAGCAGTAACACCTGTACAGCAGCACTAAGCTTGGGAAAGGTAGAGGTAATATTCAATGCCATTGCCAGTCATACTGCTTTTCACAGCACAGTGCTGTTATATTCTCTCAGGTAGCTTCTTCATAGGAGAAGAGAGCAGAGTGTTGACTTTATTAGTGTCCTGCTGCTCCTTTTTTGTCAAATTAAAGGCAAAAGTGGATCATTAATTATCATGTTGTATGTGGAGCTTACCAGCAAATATCAACCGCAGCTCAATTTTGGTTTAGCTTTAAGAAAATAAAAATGTCAGCACACGTAGAATATATTCATTTTATATCATATCAAGTGTACAAAACTGATGAGGGGGGAGTTACAATAAAAGTGGCCTGGGGCTATTGTAATTTAAATTTGCCCCTGGGTAGGAGAATGGGAATCTGCAATAATGCAGACCCAACCCCCGCCCCCCGCAGACACTTTGATCATTTGCAGTAAAGCTGAATGAGGCGGTTGAGCTGGTCTCTCCGTCAGCACGCTGCAACTCTTCTTTCAAGTGGTCTGTCTAAGCCGCATCTTCCTTATTCCCATGGCTGGGTAGACAGCTCGGCTCAGCGCCTCTGCGGCCAGCTCTCGTATGATCCGTGTGCTTGGCATTCTGCTCTTGTCTGAGGAAGAGGCAGGCTTGTCAATCTATATATATATATTATTTTTTATGGACAACAAAACTTAACGTGGACACATTGTTGCAACAGGAGACTGCCAATATTGATTATATTGTCTTATTTCAATTAGTGATTCATTCTAATAATGGTAATATTTATTAACGCTTAAAGAGACCCTGCGGCTAATCTAAAATCACAAAAACACCCTGTAAAAAAAAATTAGTTATACTTACCTTTCTGGTTGGTGGCAACTCCAGCCTTTGCTCTGATCAAGAGCTATGACCTCCACAGGCATCCAATGCCTTTGGCCACATTGGATGCCTGGTTCTCGCTTTACTCTCTGGTTCTATCTGCTGGCCCCCATATCGCTACTGTGCCTGAATAATATAAGATTTATATTATACAATCTTTGTTCTACAAATTGAATATACAATAAAGAGTTGAAGAGCACTCCGGGCTATCTAAAGAGGTCTCTTTTTAGGGTGGCCCTTTGTGATTGAGTCATTACTCTGACCTACTCACTTTTGTGTGTACCGTATTTGCCGGCGTATAAGTCGACCCCCTACTTTTTGTGTTAAAATATAGGTTTTGGGCTATACTCGTCGTACTAAGTCGTATAGGAAATATACATTTGTCATGAGCATCCAGCAGCATTGAAAGGAACAATATCATGTCGCAGAAATAAGCAGAATCCATACATTTTTTATGTAGCACAGTGGCTGCTATTCAGGAATACATCGTTAGGTCTGTAAACAACCTTGAAGATGGAAGTTGCATATTTATATCCTAGGGTTATAATTATTATTATTATAGTTAATGAGGGTAAAGAAGTCAAAGAAATGCAGATAGTAGAAACAAGAAAAAAAAGGCGGAGGGTTATCTTCCTTGGCCCTTAATTTAATGTATTCAAAGTCAAATGCAGCCCAGATTGCTTTGGATGGAGCAGAGAGGGTTGCTGTGAGTGGTACTGTGCATAGCTAGCAGATTCCGTGATCATGGAGCTATTTAAAGTACATATAAATGACAATACCGTAATGAACTAGCTCCACCAGTATGCTATATGATCATTATCTTGGTGAAGTAAAATAAGCTATTTTTTTATTACAGGTATTTATATAGTGCCGACAATTTACACAGCGCTTTACATTCTCACACATTGGTATGTTCAGGGCCGGATTCCCAACAAGGCTACCAAGGCCTGGCCTGGGGGCGGCAGGGAGCAGCGGGGCGGCGCAAGTTTGAAGTCTCCCGACGCCCTGAACATCGGAACATGGAGTTCCGGGCGGCGGGCGGTAATTTGTTTTCTACATTTAGCCCTGCTTTGCACAAGCCGGGATAAATGTAGTGTGAGGAAGCTTCTTGTTTCTTTGCAAGTTATCTCAGCGATGTTGCCAAGATCACTTGTAATTAGATTGCTCCTTCCGGCTCCAGCTCCCGGCTCCGTCCTCTCCTCGCTGGCCGCCGACGTCTTCGGGATGGAGAGCAGTGAGCAGAGCGGCAGTGTTAAAAGTAACCCTGCCGCTCCGTGTATACAGTGAGAGGGGAGAGCAGTCTTCCCCTCTCAGCTGTCACAGGAGTTCCAGTACAGTGCTGTGCTAGAACTCCTGTATTGGAGGTGACAGTTTCAATAAAAAGAACCTGTCACCTCCAAATGCTATCACACAGGGGCTTTGTTAGCCCCTGTGTGATAGAACCTGTCACCTCTAAATGCTATCACACAGGGGCCCCTGTGTGACGGCGGGAGGGCGCATTGCGGAACCTGGCTTTGGGGCCGCAGGGAGAGTAAATCCGGTCCTGGGTATGTCTATATATTATTTGGTGTCATTCTGAGCCTGATGAAGGGGACCCTTTGTGGCCCCAAAAGCACTAGTTTTTGAATGGCTATGTTCTTTTAATAAATGGACTTTCACGTATTTCATCGAATCATTGCTGTGCTGGTGACATTTCTATACATTCAGTTTTTCACGGTGCCATCCGTGGTCGCTGAAGCACCCACCTGTATTTAAGGTATTTCTATCCAGTAAGGAGTGCAACAAGATATCTTGTTTTAAATTTACATCAGTCTTTGCCCTCAAGGAGCTTACAACCTAAGGTCCCTATCTCACACGTATACATAGGAGGGCCAATTTAGACAGGAGCCAACTAACCTACCAGCATATCTTTGGATTGTGGGAGGAAACCGGAGTACCTGGAGGAAACCCACACAAGCACAGGGAGAACATGCAAACCTTGTAGATAGTGACCTTGCCAGGATTCAAACCGGGGACCCCCAGTGCTACAAGGCAGAAGCGCTGATCACTACGCCTCTGTGCTGCCCTATTGAACGAGTTGTCTGATTACAGGCTATGTAGAGCTACCATTGAACCAAGCAACCCATCAGCCAAGAGCCTGTAGAAAAAGGCCTTGAACACTATTTCTGGGGTTCTCCAAAATGATTCTGGGGATGGATCAAGTGAATGAGCTGCATTAGAAAATTTATACTGCATTGCTCATTTTATCTTGCAATCATTTTTCCCGAGAAGACAATTGCTGAACTTCTGCTGTTACGTCTTGCAGCAGTGTGAAAGAGAGGAGGTCATTTCAGGAGGTTGGTTCCAAGCACTGGAGAGTTCAGGAGGACACTTCTAAAGCTCCTTGCTTGGCGTTTCTGTATCGAGAGAGAATTCTTGTTATTCCAGTTTCGAGAATCTTCCGAGTGGAATATTTAATGCGGGGCTGATAAAACATTCATGGGCACTTTGCCACTTTAGGAATGACAAAGTAGAAAAGTAGGAAGGCACGTTCATTTAGGTTTTGATAGTCCTGCTCGGAATTGGATCACATCTGTGTCTTTCATTAACATTAAACAAAAAAACAGAGTTTCCTGTAAAATATCCGCCTAATGCGCTCCACTCGTCTAATTGCCATTTTCGGATAAAGAGCTTTTGCTAAAAGTTGAAAGTGGTTTATAATTAAAAAGTAGATGATGTACTCAATTACCTCCAAGATTTGTTTAGATTTCCCTTCTGCTATAGTTTGCTGTTATTAAAGCTTAACTCCGGCAGGGGAGAAATCTTGCAGCTGAAGGCACGCTTTCCAGGCTGGTAGTGATTAGTGTTTTGTGATGTAGCACCGTGCGTCTATAAATAGATCTGCTGTCCTTTGTTCCCGACAACTGTCCTCTGCTGTGCTACTTCTGGCCCCCTGTGACCAGCGTCTCCACTCTGCACTAGTCAAGCTTCCAGCCTGGTCTAGGGACCACCCACATAAGCAGGGTTGGGTTTACTCTCTCTGCTGCCCCAAGGCCAGGTTCCTCAATGCGTCCCCCCTCTCTGCCAAACCGCCCACCGCATGGAGAATGGCAACAAGATGGCGGGTGCAGCAGGGTTAGTTTTAATTTTTTTCTCTATTTTTATTTGTTGACTTGTTTGAATTTGTATTTATCTTTTATTTTTTTATCTTATTTTTTACCTTATTATTTTTACCTATTTATTTTTTTATCATTTTTTTTCTTATTTTTTACTTTTTAAATCACCTTTTTATTTTAATTATTTTTTTTTTTTACTCATTTATTTTTTAAGTTTTATTTATCCATGTTTTTAAATTTGTTTTCACTTAACTTTATTGCTATCTCACAGGGGCTAACAAGCCCCTGTATGATAGCATTTGGAGGTGACAGGTTCTCTTTATTGAAACACAGCATTTCTAGCACAGCATTCACATAATACTGGTATTTATAGCAGAGCTGGACATTGCATCCCTCTCTGAACACATCCTTCCTTGCTGGGCTGGAGTTCTGTGAATCATAAACAACTGCCATATTAAAAAAAAAGACCCCAAAATGCTTGTTTCCCCTTTTTTTCATCCTTTGGTACAGCTCAGTGCTGCCGATCTCCTGCAGCGTCTTCCTGTCTACATGCCCTCCAGCGATGGCTGCATGGCATTTCTCATGGAGCGTTTTCCTGATGGTGACAACAGTGGACGATGTCTGCGTAATGTGTGTTAAAATGACCATCTGTAGTTATTGGAAGACTGTTTGTCTTCCAATGTGACAACATACAATTAGGAGACAGAATGTTGCCACCCTATAACAGGAAGTTCCTGAACAAGTAACCTCATGGCAGGATCGCCAAGCATTATTTAAATGAAAGTTGCCGATTATAAGAACCTTAGTGATTGAGGTAACATGAGCTTCCCATTTACTTGAACACATTATATGTATGTTGACACATCGTATGGCTGTCAATAGATATAAGATAGCTGCCTAAAGAGCTTCAGTACCATAATGCCTAAACTGTTCCTAGACCAAACCCAAGGAACTGCTGAAGAAGAGGGTACATACACAACCAAATTCACATTCTTTTTCATCTCATCTCCTAGGACCCCCTACCCTTGAAAGAAACTATTCCCTAGGTGCGATCACTCTCTAACCTGGTCACACGTCGCAGGTTGACTACTGTAGTCAGTCCTCTAAGGGCAGGTTCACACCATTTTCCGGACCAGATCTGGTCCAGAAAATGGTGTGAACCTACCCGCAGTTCCAGTGCATTCCAGATCAGACAAAATGAGACATGTAGTATTTTTCTGGTCTGGTACGGACTGCAGGGGTGCGAACAGAATCCAGAAATAGCATAGAGATACATTAGGATGCATTCTGGGTCCAGAAACAATCTGGCCTGGTCTGGAGATGATCTTGATGTGGTGTGAATGGGTCCTCAACCTTCTCTTCTGCTGTTCCATCCACCTCTAGGGTAGTGTCTCTACATGACTCAGGAGAAGAAAGGGGGGAGGGGGGGGGTGAAGGTCAAAAAGCATAAAGAATAAAGTTAGGAATGGAGAAAATAGAGGGTCCGTCTTAACTGGCAGAGCATTGACAGTCTACCAGAAGTGGATCGGCAGGGGAAACTGTGACTAGGAACAAGAGGGAAGTCATTTAGGAAAGTTCTACAAATAGGTTGCCCTGCTTGCCCTTACCCTTTGGCAGTGAGGGGTACATTTTTGTAATGGCAGGTTGGCTGGGGGGAGAGCTTTGGGGAAGAGAGATGATTGGTAAAATAATTTTGAAAAAAGGAACTCCTCTGGTGGTACGGGGACATGTTATTGTGGAGGTTCCTTCGTTCTTTCCCAAGGAACTCTGTAAGCACCAAATTGCAGGTAGACCCTCAAGGTGGTATAAGGTTGCTGATGGTAATTGTAGAAGTGGTGGGACCTTAAAAGAGCCCATACAGTGCTTTGGGGGACTGCAGTTCAGGCTTCTAGTTTGGGATAATCAGTATATATCTCTGTATACAGTATGTGTGGTAACAACATAATGTGGTGCGTTTATTACTGCGGACTTTCTAATCCATGTTATGTGGTCCATGTCATTTTTCGGGTGGCATTGATAGGCAAGGTGATCATATACAATAAATGGGACACGAGTCTGGATCATTGTAGTATAGCTCTGCATGTTCACAGAACTGGTTGGATTACACAGATGTACCAAAGCCTTTTAGTATAAAAGAAACCTTCTCCACATTTCATAGTGTGCAGTGTTTAAACAATTCTAGAGAGCCCGTGCTACAAGCAATTAGGAAGGTTCTTCAATCTTCAATTACATTTTTATGTCTGCGGCAATGTGATTACAATGTAAAATGTTCTCTTTATGGTTTTTTGTCTTTATCAGGAAACTTTACTTCACTTTGGTGCACAAGAACCCTGTACATGGCAAGATTTGCACCTCTCCCGCCGCGTGCCAGGGTTCCGGGTCTGACGTGTCCAACAGAGGGGCCTTCTATGTACCCACAGAGAAAGGTGAGCAAATGGTCTTTGTTTAGGCAGTATGGAACTGTCACTGAATGGAAATAAGAACGGTCTATAGCGCCATCTCAACCAGTCATCCACAGTAAACATTTGAGTCACTAAATGCCAAATCTACAGACTTTTTCTGGATATGGTTATTGATATGGACATTGTTGTTGATTTTCTATAAACCTGGCTTGTATGATGTATAATTGATGCTCCTAGGGTAGTGGTGTTTGATCAATAAGTTGTTGAACTGCACATTCATGGATTCACCTGAATGCGGAGTCACCTAGTCACCAGGGTCACGCTGGTCTCCACTAACCCTCTACACACTCCAGTGTTGTCTTTGACTTCCTCTTTCCACTGTCCTTAACTTCCTCATTGGTCCAGTGCTGGTGGTCTTTTTTGGCCATCATTCTACCCATTTCCTATGAGCCCAGTCTATTGTTTGCACCCCCCCGTTGTGTCAACACTAAGGCTGGGGTCACAGTACTCCAGGCCTGAGCAGCACTCACCCCATTACATGAATGCTGCTCAGTCCTGCAAGAATGCCACCCCCTGCCGCCACCGGAGAACTGCTACGATGTCACCAGATTGGCTAGAATCTGGTGCAGGTGCACGGACACATGAATGGGCATCAGTAGCATATCCAGGGCATGGAACATGGCCTGGGCACAATTTGAAGGGGGGGAGTGAAAGTTCGCTGGCCCATGAAGACAGCTGACTTTTTCCACTCTGAGCTCCTGGCAGCCAGTGATGTCACTGGTCTGGCCGCGTCCTGCCCAGTTCTGGCCACCAGTGATATCACTGGTGGGCAGGATGCTGGCCAGAATGCCCCACCCAGCTCAACTGGGCAGGATGTGATGGGCGCAGGGCTGGATTTACTCCTTCTGCTGCCCCCAAGGTCCAGGTTCCTCAATGCGCCCCCCTACCTGCCAACCCCATCATGGAGAATGGCAGACCTGCAGGCTGTACACTAGTGATCTTGGCAACATCACCGAGATCACTTGTACACAACAAGCGACGGCTTCCCCGCTGTACATTTAGCTCTTCTTGCCCAATGCAGGGCTAAATGTAGAAAACAACTACCCACCCGACGCCCGGAAATGCATGTCCCAGGCATCGGGAGAAAGGAATTCCACACCCCTGCTGCCCCTCTACTCCCTGCTGCCCCAAGGCCAGGCCTTGGTTGGCCTTGTGGTAAATCCGGCCCATGATGGGCACATTTTATAGTAGATATGTCTCTGCTGAGCATGCACGTACTTTAGCATGATCACATATACTGTATCTGATGCCAGGGCTGCTTTAAGTAATCCAGATCGCAGTTCCTCGGTCTTTGTGCAGCTCCGCCGTTTACTAAGCTCAAGCAACACGTGAGCCGTCGGCGGAATATTAAACAGTCGAACATAAGGGGCTCCCAGACACAGATGTGTTTCTTTTTATTACGAAGCTAAAGCAGATTCATAGAGCAGATAATGAAGAAGCGGAAAACTCCAGCCTCACCGTATTAAATGACAATGAAGGCAACAGTTGCGGCTTATGGTTTGGCTTCCGCTTCTGCCAAAGAAAATATCCTTAAAATGAAAACGATCGCCCGGAATTAGCTTTTGCCGAAATAAAATCCCAGCAAGATGCTTTCTTTATGCCTGCCACAACGACGGAAGACGGTAATCTCCCATATTGTAAAGCGGCCCGAACTAGCAAAGTGTCAGCAGGACCTGGCACAGAGCAGTCACTTACAGTATCTCCGCAAATGCTTTGCTCGGTTCCCTCCATGGAAACAGAGAATTTAAGAAAAAGGGGCTGGTATTGAAGCAGATGGAAACCCAATCACTAATATCTCCCATATTATTTAACAGGATAAAAAGTAATTTGCAATCTTTTGAAATCTGCAGCTTTCACTTAAATAATCCCCGGTGATCCTGCCATGAAGGTCTTTGTTCAGCCACTTCCTGTTATAGGTTGACAACTGTGCTCCTCCCCAAATAGCAAATTATAACTTGCCACAAACTTGTGGCAGGGTTAAATTGTAATTCTTGTTAAAGGAGAACTATGGGGTCAGGGCTTTTCCCCATAGATCTCCTTAGGGTAACGGGAGGACACAAACTAGCGTCCTCCCGTTACCCTAAGCTCAGTATACCGCGAGCTGCAGCTCGCGGTATACTGAGACACCGCAGCTGGAGCGGATCCCGACATCGATGTCGAGATCCGCCCAGCTGCGTGAGTGACAGCTGGCTCTGCCTATCTAGAGGCAGAGCCAGCTGTACCCGCCCCCTCCCCCGTCCGTTCCGCCAGTCAGCGCTGGAGAATCGGAGCGGGGAGGAGGGAATCCAGCCCCTCCCCTGTCACGGCAGAGAGCTGTGACAGGATCGAGAGGTGAGCGAACGCCGGTATGTGTTCGCTCACCTCCCTATCTACTGAGCCGACCTGTGACAGTCTCATTGTCACAGGTCGGCTAGAAAAAGCACTCACCTCATAGTTCTCCTTTAACTTGCCGCTCACACTCCTGGCAAGTTGTAGAACACTCGCAGCACAAGTTCTAGGTGACACATTTTTTAATGTGAAGCAAATTTGCTTGGCAAGTCTACAGCAAGAGTCCTGCAAGTGTGCAGCACTTTTGCCAAGCACGTTGATCTGGAGACTTGCAATGCAGACTTGCTGTAATTGTGCAACAAAATTGTGAAGCTTGGCAAGTCTGCAATAGTTTAGCAAGTCATTTTCAAACTTGCAGCTCAATTGCTTGCTATCTGGGTCCACCTGCCACACAGGCTTTCACTGGAGAGTACAAGTGGTCACTTCCACACATGGCAGGATCACCAGGTATTATTTTAATGAAAGTTGAACTCCAGACCCAAAAAACATTTTAAACTATTGCTCTATAGTTAAGGATATAAATCCACTTTGTGTGCACCAAATGTCTTTGCAGCTACAGATTCTACTTTGTAAAAATAGCAGTGGCATCACCACAGTTGTACATAACCTGTGCAGAGAGCTGAGCTGTGGGAGGGACTCAGCAGACCACACCCACTACATCCTGCCTGCAGAAAACTACAGGAGGGGGCGGAAACAAGACCAGTCACCCTGCACAAGGAGAGAGAGCAGCAGTGAGCAGTGTGTGTTCCTGAAACTGCTCCAGAGCTTGTGTTTTTTTCATCTATCCCAGCCCTCCTGGCTCCTTCCTGCTGGGAGCTCTGCTGGGAGCTCTCAGTCTCCTGGGCTGATGAGCGAGTTGCCTGCACCTGTGCAATCGGAAGCCGGAGATTTGTCCGCCCCTGGTGAAGGGGAAGGGGCTGCATCCGTACGGGAGAGAGTGGTGGCCGGCATAAAATCCCTGAACAAGGAGAGGGAAAAGCTTTACAAGCTGAGAGCCGAGCTAAAGCGGCTACGGAAGAACCGTAGGTGGTGACTGACCCCCCTGTTCCCATTCAGGATTCCTCCCCAGCCCCTGTGGTCACCCCTCCTGTGTCTGTAAGTCCACCTCCTGTGTCTGTCTCCATGTCTCCTCAGCCTTCTGTATCTGCTCCCTCTGTGTCAGCCCCTTCTAAGTCTGTGTCCCCTCCATCTGTTCCCTCCCATGGGTCTCTCCCTTCCTTGTTGGATGGGAAGGAGGGTGAGACTGTATTGCAGGAGCATATTAGAGGTTGCCCAGCAGGGATGGAGGGAGGCGCCAGGCGGGGTGGCTCTGCTTCTTCTGCAGGGAAGCCCTCAAAAAAATCTTAATGATCTTTACGCTTGAGTCCTTTTGTACAGTGATGAGGCTTTATTGCTTGTCTGTGTATACAACATGTATATCATATGGGGGAATATTGTTTTATTTATTTTTGATTTTTGTACAGTTTACACTACGTTTATGTTTTGTTACCTTTGTATAAAAGTTGCTTGAATCTTTCAATAAAAAGATTAGCAGCAGTGACCAGTGCTTTGTAGTTTACAGAATATAGCAGAAAAGGCAGATAACATTGTATGAGATTCCTCTTCAGTGCACAGGAGGTTACGAGGACATTATATTTCTAGTAGCATTACCAGGTATGTTTCTGTACTTGCAGAAATTGTATATTGTTAGTAATATTTTTTTTACAGCCACTTCCAAGAAGTTGTCACCAACGTTGGATTTTAACCCTTGCCTGAACACAGCCTGTGGGAAACCCGCCGTCCGCCCTCTAGTAGACACCGGTGCCATGGTGTTTGTAGTGTTCGGAATTCGAGGGGTAAATCGGACCAGGATACCGGATAACCATGTACTCGGTGAACTGGTAGGGGAAATATCATTATATGGATATACTGTAGCAGACCTTATTTATCAAAGTGCCTTACATAAGAACTGGCAATCTACTTCAGACCTTCATTCTCTACATTTTGTTTCCTTTGTAGGTTTAAAGTCTAGTTTCTTTTATTGGTCACCAAATTAACAGCAAATATCCAACATGTTTCAGGGACATTCCCCACCCCCTCCTCAGGGCGGCTGATAGAATACATAAAAGTAAAAACCATTTTAATGTATAAAGCTGGGTCTGATGGCTGATATTAAGTGTGGGGCAGCCCTCACATACAGACCTACTATTTTGAGGATCCCCCACATCCATGGTACACAGGTCCCCTATTCCAGGTGCTTCTTAAAGAGTGATTTTGCTGATATTTTGCTAATCATCAGAGATGTACTATTTAATATTATTTCATATATTGTCTATGACCCATCATATGAGATTGCCTACATTAGCTGAATTGCATGTGCATCCTTGACAACGCGGACTTTGTTCCAAGAAATGCCTTGTTGTCATAGCCGGCCTTTGTTTGGGGAATGGGAACTATTTTAATTGTCTCCATGAACGATACACCAACACAAAATTGTACTATGGGCATAATGCATTCCGAGCTTCTCTCCTCCCTGCTGGGCGCAGGCTGCTTTGGTGCTAGTCTCCCCTGCCTGTGTCAGCAGGGGCCATGGGGATTGGAGGGGACATAGAGCCGATCCAGCTGCCGGCGCCCAGCGGGGAGTAGAGAAGTTGTCATGAGGACGAGCTGGGCAGTGCAGGAAGAAGAAACATGTCAGAAAGCCAAGCGGGCGGTGCAGGAGGAGAGCTCCGTTCCTGTCACAAGCGGAGCAGTCAGGTTGGAGAGCCCAGCACATACACTCCGCAATCAGTACTGATGTAAATAACGGCGGACATAGTAAGCTTTCTCTATCCCAGTTATGAATGAAAAGGAAGTGCTTTACATCACTTTACATCACTTATGAATGGGGACATAGTAAATATTTATTATCTCACACTTTATGAATGAACAGGAAGCAGCTCAGTCCAGGGGCTTCCTGTCCATTCATGACTGGGTTGATCGTAAATATTTACTATTTCCAGATTGTGAATGAACAGGAAGCCGCTGGACTGAGAGTTTCCTGTTCATTCAGTGCTAGGGCTGCAGAAAAAGAGATTGAGGACTCAATCTCTTTTTCTATTTGAAAAGGGAAATATCAGGGATCTGTTTAGACCTCTGGTGGTTCCCCAAAGCCCCTAACAGTTAAGTAAAAATTAAATTAAAAAATTATTTTCAGTTTCAGGCTGACAAATGTTTGAATTTTGTTTTCGGTCTAAACATTTCATATAGGTGAATCCCTGGTCTCCACCCATCAGTTGGGTTTACCCTGGAAAATAAGTGTCTTGCCTATCCTAAGAGTACATGATGGTGTGCAATCACAGAGCCTTGCAGTTGTTTGCATCCCTTTCATATCATGCTGTTGTTTGATACTGTTATGCAGTCTCAGGAGCCGGGAGACATTGATGGACAGACTCTAGATAGGAGAGCAGCTCTGACTTTGTGGTAACAATATTAAAGCGGTGTGAATGTCATTGCATTGTCTGACTTTCGTCTTTTTGCCCTCATTGTGTCTTTTCCGGAAAGGGCAGGGTCATCTACGATGACAAGTTCGACCTCTTTAAAGAAATCGGTAACCTGTGCAGCCTGTGTAAGGTGATCGCAGGCAACAGGGATTTGGTGAAGCCGGGAGGAGCTCAGTGTCTCCCTTCAGGTATTTAATTTATCATGTATGTATTTGGACTCAAGGCAAATGTCTTTACTCTGTAAAGGGGCGGAGACATCCTTTGTCATGAAAAGCTTTGCCAGACAACTATAATGAGCCCATAAATGTCAGGAAAACAAATCTGTATTTTAGGGATGTTCAGGGGTGATGGGAGCCATGTGCCACCTTTTTTGGAAGAGAGAAAGAAGAAGAGGAGGCTGAAAACTCATTATTGACAAGGAAATGCCCCTCCATGCTGACCAAAGGAATCTGCTCAATGTAGTATTGGTAGGGCGCTGGACCCCAACGTAAATAACATCAAGTTACAGATATTGGAGGAGCTCTCTGTCAACCGGCTGTGTTCCTGGGGATCCCCGGTCACCCTGCCGCAGCCTCTCACCTTTTGACTTGCTACAAGGTTACATTATTGCAGTCTGATCACAAGGGTAGGGGAGACTGAGGAAATACTTCCTCCTGCCTGCAGCAGACTGATGACATCATCTCAGCCTAGGCAAAGTCACTGGACACTGGACAAGTGTATCCTCCTAAATCAGTGGTTCTCAACCTGTGTAACCTCAGGACCCACATTTGCCCTTGGTCATTAAGTCGCGACCCAAGTCGCACTGCAATGCAGCACACAGCATTGCGGTACAGCGCGTTCCAGTGCGAGCGATCGAACTGTGGGTGGGAGGTGCATTTGGGATGCCATTCTAAAGATCAACCCAGTCTCCAAACCTTACGAGAACTGGAGCTGATCCTCAAGTCAGGTGTGGGCTGCTGTGCTGTGACTGAGCTCCATTCATATGTGCAATGCTGGTACAGCTCCCTCTGTGTGCCCTGTAGAGGTGTCGGGATCCAGAATGTGACATCACTCCGGTCCAGGCACCTCTACAGGGCATACATAGGAAGTTGTACGTATGGATGGAGCTCCATCACGGCCATAGCCCCAGCCTATCCCACCTCAAGCAGACACTCGGCACCGGGCAGCATATTCTGAACTGACAGTGCCGCGAAAGGGGGAGGCTGATGAGCCTCTCACCTAGAAAAGTGGAAGGCATATGGCGACCCACTGAACATGGGGTCGCGACCCACTTTTGGGTCACAACCCACCAGTTGAGAACCAGGGGTCTAAAGGATAAAATAAACTTTGCATACCGTGGCTGTATATTGTTACATGTTAGGAATTTATTTACCAATTTATTTACTAAAATGTCCATTTTATTGAACACATCTATACTATTATTATTATACAGGATCTATATAGCGCCAATAGCACTTTACAAAATTGGGGGGGGGGGGGGGGGGGGGGGGGGGGGGGGGGGGGGGGGGGGGGGGGGGGGGGGGGGGGTGGGCGAGAACAGTTACAATACAATTCAATACAGAAGGGTTAGGTTGGCCCTGTTGATGAAACTTTACAATCTAGTAGAGAGCTTACAGTGCTTTTTCTTAAATACTGACTTTTCTAACCTTTGGAGCTCTGGCTTACTTCAGTGTAAGAGAAGTAAACACAGGCAGAGATTTGGTTGACTTTGGGCTAATGTATGCAGTAAAAGAGTGCCTGGCAGGATGGGTTGGGTGCCTGTTCACAGTCCTATCTTCTGATATTTTGTCTTTCAGGGTACAGTATATCATCCTTTCTTCAAATGTTACACCCCGAATGTAAGAACATTCCAGAGCCAAATCTTCTCCCGGGTCAGCTCTCGCATGGTGCTGTTGGCGTAAAGGATGGAAAAGTCCAGTGGATCTCTATGGCATTTGAATCGGTAAGAGTCGCAGAGATCCTACATGTACAACTGCAAGCACAGACATATCATTTACCTTTATGTGGCTGCTGTATGTCACATTATTATTACAGTTACAGGTGGATATTATGTGTCCGCAGTGTTTCTGTTTTTCTTTAATAAGTTGGGCGGGGCTCTAAGCAAGCCTGTTGTTAAAGTTATATGAAGGCAATGCATCCTTTATATTTCTTACAGGTTCCTTTTAAAGCTGACCAGTCATAAAAAAAAACCTTGCACACTTCTGTGCTCTATGTGTTTGCACATTGAGGTTGGTGGAAACAAGTTGGCAGACCAGTCCTTCCACATTGTCTCCCACCGCACTATATGGAGGTGCCTTGGCGCGGCTGTGCGTTTTTCACATATTCTGCAGAAGACGTGTATCTAAACCTCTGTTTTTAACCTTAGTGGTAGACAAGTCTTGTATGCTGGGAAACCTTTTGTTGCTGTTCATTTTGAGACAATATGGGTGCCTCTCCATTGGCTGCTAAGACCCTCTCTTTGCATTTAACAGATGTGGAAAATTTGGGGAGTTAGATGGTTACTTGTGAACCATTTACAAGCACATCTGACATAAATGGCGAAAATTGTGTTTGGTCCATGGGTATCGCAGCGTGGTCACCTGACTAATGGAATTGTTCTAACACAGCCTCAGATGCCAGGACCCAATGTCGATTTTTCACCTTATTCTGTATTTCCTGTCCAAGCCTCCTTCTGTATGTGCTCTTGGTGCCCTGGAGGAGCTTATATTATTATGCTGGAAAGCTCCACTTCCTCCTATTAAAAGACAGTGGATTGATCAAATAGATGTATATCTGTTGATGGAAAATTATAATATAGAAATCTACCAAAAAACATACAATCTTTAATAAACCATGTAGAAAAATACTTGTTACCAAATCCCAACAACCTGAGATAAGAACACTTAAAAAAATCCCTCCCAAAAATCCAAAGGGGAAATGGGAAATTGTGAAGAGCCTGCTATAGAGCAATTATTATTATACAGGATTTATAGAGCGCCAACAGTTTGCGCAGCGCTGTACAATATAAGGAAGACATTACAATCGCAATACAATTCAAGACAAGATGGTAAGGAGGGCCCTGCCCCTGAGGGCTTACAATCTAGAAGGGAGGGGCCAGTGATACATGAGGAGGTAGGTGTGTGGGGATGAATTGTATGAGAAAGTGATAGTTCAGTGGTCAGGTTGAGGTGGGATAGGCTTCCCTGAAGAGATGAGTCTTAAGGGAATTGTATATAAAATAAAGTATAGTTCTAAAACATCTCAATATTAAGTCAATAAGAGTATAAATACTTCAGGATCTTAGGTTGTTGGGATTATGTAACATACTGTATGTATTTTTCTTTATGGTTTATTAAAGATTGTATGTTTTTTGGTAGATGTCTATGTTATGCCATTATTGGGGTCATTTTTCCCACATGTGGTCACACCACCTTCCATTGAGGTCACGTTTTTGCTATATTACACTATAGGGTGAGGACCAGCATTGGAGCCTCTGGGTACATAGAAGTGTCTCATGGATAGAAGAGAGTGTTTATTGGGGTCAACACAAGGGAATTTCCTTCAGAGACTTCCAGACCTCCCTTTACATGTTTCCATTGCAAGCCAACCTTTATCACCCCATTGTATCGTCTACCATCACTGGTTCAGTGATGTGGATTGCGTTGGCTCTGATGGAGTTTACTATGCTACGTGCAGGGCCGGATTTCCCACAAGGCCAGCCGAGGCCCGGCCTCGGGGCAGCAGGGAGAAGAGGGGCAGCAGGGGTGTGGAATTCCTTTCTCCCGACGCCCAGGACATGCAGTTCCGGGCTGGTAGTTGTTTTCTACATTAAGCCCTGCTTTGGGCAAAAAAGGGGTAAATGTACAGCGGGGAAGTCGCCGCTTGTTTTGTACAAGTGGTCTAGGCAATGTCGCCGAGATCACTTGGATTGCAGGCTGCATACAAAGCAGCATATTGAGGAACCTGGCATTGGGACAGTAGAGATACTAAATCTGGCCCTGGCTACGTGAATCAATGATGACGCAATGTATGTCAAATACTGGATATTGGTGGAGGATTATTGGAGGATACCGGAGAAGGTGTTGCATGTCGCCATATTTCCCACGATTGGCTGAAATTGTGTAGCCATCAAAGGCTGTAATGTAGACGGTCAGGAATATTGTATAGATATAATGTTATATTATTATAATATATATATTAAGTACAGAAATTCCCATTTTCACGGCTAGTCATATAAACATCTTCCCCTTGTGGTGATGGCGCTCAGCACTCATCTTGGACGTGAAGCCCCACCCCGCCATCAGTCTGAGGTTATTACCTGATGGGTTATTCATGTGTTCATTACCATTTCATGAAGTCCTCCACAAGCCGTGTATAACTTAAGAATAACAAGATTGTTACCGAATCCTCCCGCATCTTAGGTGGGATAAAAATAAAACAATCCGCCATTCTGGTGACCCCCCCAGTGCTTTTCCTGCTGTATAATGAATGATGCGTCTCCTCTCGCAGACCACCTACAAGGGCAAATCGTCTTTCCAGACTTACAAGGACTATCTGAAGTGGGAGTCTTTCCTCCAACAGCAGCTGCTGCGTCTCCCTGCGGACTCAGCGCTCAAACCTGGATTTCAGACCTGCGAACACTGGAAGGAGATCTTCATGGAAATTATAGGCAAGTGACTTTTCCCATAATGCTTTGTGCACAAACTTTCCCAATGCTGCAATGTAGTGGCTACTGGTGTCCTGGGCAGAGACTATAGGTTTGCATTGGGTTAAATCACAAAACTCTGTAGCCATGTCCCTCTTGCCTGTAGGTTTTGGATTGATGGGTGTAAAGAGACCCTGCCATACCTAACACAAATAAAAGAAAAAGTTGCATAGAAAAGGAGGCTTTTAAATCTGAAGTTTAATCTGCTTTTATCTTGCCCTGGTTCCCACTCGCCTCTCCTCAATATGCTAATGAAATGTTTAACTAAAGCCTTTTTGTTTTCATTATATACCTTATTTTAGACCCATTTGTGCCATCGCTTGATGGCCCCTTCCTGTTCCAACATGACTGCGCACCAGTGCACAAAGCAAGGTCCATAAAGACATGAATGAGAACACCTTTGGGATGCATTAGAGCGGGACTGTGAGCCCGGCCTTCTCGTCCAACATCAGTACCTGACCTCACAAATGCGCTTCTGGAAGAATGGTCAAACATTCCCATAGACTCCTAAACCTTGTGGATGCCTTCCCAGAAGAGTTGAAGCTGTTATAGCTGCAAAGGGCGGAACCGACCCAATACTGAACCCTACGGACTAAGACTGGGATGCCATTAAAGTTCATGTGCGCGTAAAGGCGTCCCAATACTTTTGGCAATATAGTATATATACACACACATACATACACACACAGTTCTATTTCTACTAGCCCAGCTAGTGTTCAAGATGTGACGACTGTGACTCTGTTCTGTCTTTCAGGGGTGCAGAGCGCTTTGTACGGACTGATTCTGTCGCTAGTCATCTGCGTGGCAGCCGTAGCGATCTTCACTACGCACATTCTCCTGCTCCTCCCGGTGCTTTTTACCATTCTAGGTACAAATTAATGGACTCCATAATGCGTTTATATCCGGTGCATAATCTGCCATCACATCAAATCACTGTTTGCCTTTCCATTCTGTTGTGTCCAGTATTGCACCTTGTCCATTATCGGAGATGCTTCATGCTCCGTTAAGGCTTGATGATCTGCAGGATGAAGACTGAGGCCGTCTGCTGTAAGATCTGCTTAGCCGGGGCTGGAACAGAGACATCACGCTCATTAGAAAATCGAATTTTGTCTGCGGGCAGATATAGAGGGAGCGTGCTTGTATCACTAATGTCCATTCTGAGCAAACTATGTAGGATGGGATGCCTTTCTCTGTTCATGAGAATGGATTACTGAATATTACATAAAGAGATTGGTAGAATCTCTCTTGTTGCTATTTATTAGACCATGCAGTCAGCGTCACTGCTAAAAGCAAATGAAATACAGGATAAGGCTCATGTAGCATCAGTAAAAACACAAATCGTACAAACAGCGCTCTTGTAATGATGTTGAGGGGGTAAACAATGTGTGACCCTACATAGTGTGCAGCCCTGAAGCCCAGGAGGAGTGCCTGTGGATATGCAAACTAGAAACAAAAAAACAAAAAGGGCGCAACGCTAGGTGGGCTAACTGACCGGGTCGGAAGACCCAGGGAAGGTGACAGGGAGAATTATGTGACAATGGGTGCAAAAGGCAAAAGAATGAGCACTTACATTTTAATTCATGGGACCAGAGGCTGAACGGCCGGTGTGGAGGATCGGGTCATCCATGGTGTCTATCTGGAACTGGTGTGCCGGAGGATGTGCATCCACACGGGGAGAGGAGGCTGTGGGCGAAGGTGAGAGGGGGGGAGAAGCGAGAAGCCACAAGAAGGGGACTCAGTCCGTGGCCCGCTGTGTGAGTCCAGGGGCCGAGTAGTGAGGGAGAAAATCAGCGGTGTCGGAAGCAGGCAGAACTGCTGTGGCCGCGGCTGTGGATCGTGATGCACAGTCACTGACGGCACCGACTGAAGCAGTGTGCGGGAGCCGTGGGCTGAAAGTGGTCAGCTGTCAGTCGGATCTGTGGTGGGAAGAGGGTAGTAGCGGGGTGGAGGGGCAGTGAGCTGAGCGACGCGTTTCGAGGAGCGATACCTCTTTTTCAAGCTCGAGAAGGAACATGTTGGGGCGGCGGGAAAACGCCGATTTAAATGTGACAGCTGGGAGGGGCTTAGTGACAGTGGGCGGGGAAGCTGCACGCTAGAAGTTGTGGAGCCTCGGCATGTGTAAAAGAATGTTCGGTAAGAGCTAGTACTACACTAGCCAGGTTCAACAGTTGGGGGCAACTTGGGGGTGAAGTTTGGGGGATGTACAGCCCATGTACTGTCAGTAGGGGAGCGTGCCTTGGGCATAACAGACATGGATGGTGAGTCACCCCCGGGGGGGGGGGGCATTAGAAATGTCTTAAAGGACACTCTAAGGTAAATAATCTTAGAAGGGGGGACAATTTCTGGTGTGTGTGTGTGTGTGTGTGTGTTAGAATAGAACTCTGATTATGTATGGTGATTCTATTGCAAATTCGAGAGGGGGCTGCTGAGAGGGAGCATTTAATGCGGGTATTCCGTCTCGGGGACCAGTCTACCATATATTGTTTTTAATAACGCAAGGAAATAGTTAAAAGTGAGATTTGGGGAGGATCTCAACGGGAATAAGAAGTTGGGACATAGAGACAGGACCATAAGAGATGGTACCTGAAGAACCATAAGAGCTTACCCAGAAACACTCATTTACAACGCATACTCTACATATCTACAACCACCTAGACTAGAAACAGACATTCGCCCGGAGCCCGCAGCAGAAACCCGATTCATCACCACATTCAACAATAATCATAATACAAAATACAAAGTATAATTCTAAAAAATTGGCACATCCTTAAACAAGACCCCAAATTAGGCCCGTTCATTTCCACCAAACCCGCAGTCACCTTCAGAAAGGCCTGTAACCTTAAAAACAAATTAGCACCAAGTAGGATATCAACCGGGGTCACTAGAGACTCACCACACCAGAAATTTGATAATAGAGTGGGAATACATCAATGTAAAAAATCCCGCTGCCTGACTTGCCAATTCATTACTCACGGCCAATCCTCCTTCACCGATCACTTAGATAACAGATATCACATAAAACAGTTTATCACATGACCATGTAGTATATGGCCTAAAATGCCCATGTAACCTATTATACATTGGTCGCACCATCCGTCCGCTGAGAAAGAGGATAGGAGGTCATAGACGCTTCATCGCTGATGGCAACTGCGACCACTGCGTCCCTAGACACTTCGCAGCAAAACACGGCAAACGCATCCAGGATCTTTGTGTTTTTGCCATAGAACAAATTCCCGACCATTTCTCCCCAGCCGAACGTTTCCAAAAGCTATGCAGACAAGAAACATTCTGGATATACAAACTGAATACCCTTGTTCCAACAGGACTAAATGAAGAATTGGAAATTTTGACCATTCTGTAAACGATGCCCACCCATGGCTCTGAAGACCCAGACCAATCGGTTTCCTAATCGCGCCCCCCCCCCCCGGGGGTGACTCACCATCCATGTCTGTTATGCCCAAGGCACGCTCCCCTACTGACAGTACATGGGCTGTACATCCCCCAAACTTCACCCCCAAGTTGCCCCCAACAGTTGAACCTGGCTAGTGTAGTACTAGCTCTTACCGAACATTTTTTTACACATGCCGAGGCTCCACAACTTCTAGCGTGCGGCTTACCCGCCCACTGTCACTAAGCCCCGCCCAGCTGTCACATTTAAATCAGCGTTTTCCCGCCGCCCCAACATGTTCCTTCTCGAGCTTGAAAAAGAGGTATCGCTCCTCGAATCGCGTCGCTCACCTACTGCCCCTCCACCCCGCTACTACCCTCTTCCCACCACAGATCCGACGGACAGCTGACCACTTTCAGCCCACTGCTCCCGCACACTGCTTCAGTCGGTGCCGTCAGTGACTGTGCATCACGATCCACAGCCGCGGCCACAGCAGTTCTGCCTGCTTCCGACACCGCTGATTTTCTCCCTCACTACTCGGCCCCTGGACTCACACAGCGGGCCACGGACTGAGTCCCCTTCTTGTGGCTTCTCGCTTCTCCCCCCCTCTCACCTTCGCCCACAGCCTCCTCTCCCCGTGTGGATGCACATCCTCCGGCACACCAGTTCCAGATAGACACCATGGATGACCCGATCCTCCACACCGGCCGTTCAGCCTCTGGTCCCATGAATTAAAATGTAAGTGCACAGTAGCATCAGCAAGATGACTTATAACACAAGTCTTATTTATTACTAAACAGTTTCCTTAACAGGTCTTTGTCTCTTGAAGCATTCACTTGGGGCTGTGGTACTCCAAACTTATGTGGCAGGCCCATTGGATTTAAAGGAACCGGTTCTTTATCCAAGTATGACAAACCAACAGCCTCACTTTTAATGGCAGGCTTTATAACAGCATTCTAACCTTTCCATTTACTCCCCTGGCACTCTATTTAATTGTTGTGAGAGGAAAGAAGAAGGGAAGGGAGCTTATAGAGGAATAAGGACTTTCTCTCCACCCCAATGTCGTAGCATTGAGTGCGTGAGTAGTTAGTCTCCAACCGGTGGCATGTGGAGGAATGGACGAGAGTCACTTGCTCTTCTATACCTCAGAGTAGCAGTCATGGAGCAGAAGACTGTTAAGGGGGGTGTACAGCTGGTTAGGTCACCATTTGTCCTACATGGGCATCTAAATATTTCTTCTTGGAAGACCCGCCTGGTAAAGTTGGGCAGATCTGGCTCTGAGCCTCATGGTTGCTGGGTAGACCTAAAGCCGTACTCATAGCTGACATGGAACTCAATCTGTATGTTCTTCTCTTTCCTCTTGTGTTGCAGGTGTGGTGTGCCTGGTGGTGACCATCATGTACTGGCTGGGATGGGAGATGGGAGCAGTAGAGGCCATATCCTTATCAATACTGGTGGGCTCATCTGTGGATTACTGCGTCCATCTGGTGGAGGGATACCTCTTGGCGGCAGACAGCATTCCCCCACATCTCAAGGAGGTAATTCACCAGACTACACAACCTCGAGGCAGCTCTACAAACCATGCTGTAATAAGGAGTACGACGATTTACACATTACCTCCCTGTAGTTGGAAATGTCGAAAAACTCAAGTTTTCCATTGTAGAGATTTTATGAAACATATTCCAGATCTTTCCCGGTTTCAGCTGTGTAGATATCGAGATGTACGATTCCTTTGCTGATTGGTGGATCTCTACTACATTCAAACAGTCATTACCCAAATATGATGAGAATCATTGCACTCCCCTTGCATCTATGTAAATGTGGAACCCCCTTGATAACTATCTCTTCTGGTTCTTGCTGCAGTAAAATCCAGTGTAGTGTAGGCAATCTTATTTCAAACATTGTAAAGACTTCGGGGACAATAGCATCAGCATGTTGAAGAGGATCCTGGGAAGTGGTGTCCATTATTGGTTAGCAAACCTTTTAGTCCCAGCCCCAGGACACAGTTAATCCAAACCCCGCCCACTTTCTGGAGTGCCCCGCCTTTAGTTATGTGGGAACTGCCCACTCACAGCCCCCAGTTACTGTAATGAATGCGTCATTGGGTTACCGCGCATGCGTGGTGACTAGAATAAGGGTGACACTGTCCTACCAGGACAGTGCATGGGACACAGCGTCACCGGGACTGAGGTCCAAGATGCAGGACTGTCCTGGCAAATATCTAATCTATGGTCACAATGGTTCCAAGGAAGAACATTTTTAAAATGTCGTTACCAGTTGCATCTGCAGATGAATAAAGATAAGCCAATTTAAAACATTTATCAAAACTGAAGCAGACAAAATGTGGAGCAGATTTGCACTGCAACCAATCAGCTTCTCTCTCTCATTTTCAAATCTTACCTGAGCAAACTGAAGAGAGAAGCTGATTGGTTGCCATGCACAGCTGCTCCGGATTTTGTCTGCTCCAGTTCTGATCAATTCCCCTCACAATTTACAACACAACCAGTACTTTATTTTACACCCATAGCAACAGTATAACCTATTTGACTCCATACTATCCCCAATCAACTTTAATATTCAATTACCTTTATTATGTATAATACCTATAAAGTTATCCTCTAGTCAGGGGTGTCTCTAGCTTTTTTGCCACCTGAGGCGGGAGAGGGGGGGTGGGAGGGCAAGGGAGTGGCTCTTAGCAACCCTGTTCACCAGCCAGAGCATCCTGCTCAGCTCCTGGCAACCAGTGATGTCACTGGTTGCCGGGAGCTGGGCGAACGCCAGCCCGAACATTCCAGCTTGCTAAGAGCTGGATGGGGAGATGTGCAAGGCCCTTACACATCTCCCATCCTAACTCTTAGCAACCTGGGATGCTCTGGCCAGAAAGGGGGTAGCACAAACATTGTACAGTGGAGCACCCCCCCATCCTCAGGCTGCTTCACAACCAAAGGCATGAGTCCCAGAGGCATGATGGCATTTGTAATTGAACCACAGCTGTGGCACCAAGGTTGCCCACCCCTGGATTTAAAATGTTTTGATACCAACACAGTGACGTAGTGGTTAGCACTTATGGCTTGCAGTACTGGGGTCCTCGGTTCAAATGCTGACCAGGATGCTGTGTGCATGTTCACCCTGTGTTCATTTCCCCCGGGTACTCCAGTTTTCTCCCCCACTCCAAAGACATGCTGGTAGGTTAGTTGGCTCCTGTCTAAAATTGGCCCTCCTGTGTATGTATGCGAGATAGGGACCTTAGATTGTGAGCTACGTGCGGGCAGGGGCTGATGTGTTTGTAAATTGTCAGTGCTATACAAATGCCTATAATAATGATACTGCTCACTTGTCTTTATTAGGATATGCGGGAGCCAGAGGTGTAGCCAAATGTACAGAAGTGCTGATAACGGACCATTCAGTCAAAGGGTATAAATTGTAAATCCGCAAAGCTGTGTAACGCCATCTCACCGGGATCATAAATCAGGAGCAAAGATAACACAACAGTAAAAGGAGCCGGGCCAGGGTACCCCTTCCTCTATGCACCACTGAACTACTTATCCACTTCATCTGTACAAATCAGATATCTTTGGCTCCTGCGTTATACTTCTGATTTATGTTCCCTGCAAGATGGCGTTCTACAGCTTGTTGGATTTACAATTTATACCCTTTGACTGAATGGACTGTTATCAGCACCTCTGTCATTGGTGCACATTTGGATACATCGCAGTTTTATCAGATGAATAAAAACTAAAGGCGAGCAATAGAGGAGAACTATAAATGGTGGAGAAAAGGGTTTCCACACAGTTCTGGATCCAGTAAAAATCTCCTTTAATTTATTCAAGACATAAAACCAGACATTGCATTCCTGCCAACGTGTTTCAGACAGAGGAGGCCCTAATCATAGCTGAGCATACAAGTAGCATGAGCTATGATTAATTGAGAACTATGAGGTGAGTAATTTACACTCGCCCTCATAGTTAGAACCGACGTGTGACATTGAAACTGTCACATGTCGGCTCTATTGACCAATACAGTCATTCGCTCACTTCGCGATCATCTCCCTGCAGACAGCTGTGACTGTCACACGGCTCCCTGCAAGAATTCCCCCGCTCTGATCCTCCAGCGCTGACTGGAGGAACGGATGGGGAGGGGGCGTGCTCAGTTGGCTCTGCCTCTAGATAGGCAGAGCCAGCTGTCAATCAGCCAGCTGGGTGGATCTCGACAGTATTGTCAGGATCCGTCCCGGCTGCGGCGCTCTCAGTATATAGCAAACTAAAGCCCACTAAATACTGAGCCGTGGCTCACGTGAGGAGGTTAGTATATGTCCTCCAATGACCCTTAAGAGAACTATGGGATTAAAAGGTTACCCCATAGTTCTCTTTTAATCATAGCTGAGCATACAGTAGCATTAGCTATGATTAAGGCCTCTTTTGGCTGAAACGCGTTTGTGGGACTGCTATGTCTGGGAAAGTAGGAGAGGCACCAGCCCAACCGTATGCCATATAAAAGCAGGTGGCACCAGGATGCAAGAACAGCCCAACTGTATGCCATATAAAGCAGGTGGCACCATGTAAGAACAGCCCAACTGCATGCCATATAAAGCAGGTGGCACCATGTAAGAACAGCCCAACTGCATGCCATATAAAGCAGGTGGCACCATGTAAGAACAGCCCAACTGCATGCCATATAAAGCAGGTGGCACCATGTAAGAACAGCCCAACTGTATACCATATAAAGCGGACGCTAAAGTTCAGCAACATTTGTATCACTTATTTGTATCACTTTCAGGACCCAACTGCCTGCCGCCAATGGAGAGTCATGGAGGCCGTTCGCCACGTCGGTGTAGCCATCGTCTCCAGCGCCATCACCACGGTGATAGCCACCATCCCGCTCTTTTTTTGCATCATCGCTCCCTTCGCCAAGTTCGGGAAGATCGTTGCGCTGAACACCGGCATCTCCATCGTGTACACTCTGGCCGTCAGTACGGCGCTGCTCAGTACCATGGCACCCAGCACCTTCGTCAGGAACAGGACTTCTTTCCTCAAAGCCGCCCTGGTGGTCATCCTTTGCGCTGCCGGGAGCTTTTGTGTTTACATGGTCCTGCTCAAAACAGGGTTGACCATCCCCATTCTCAACGGGACCCCGCCGTAGAGAGAAAAAAAAAAAATGTTTTTTAGACGCGTTTTTATATTTACAATTTTTTCCCCTCAGTGGTGGGTATTGTCAGACGTGAACAAAAGCAACACACTGTGTTTTCTTTTACGACAAATGCACTTTATTTTATTGTTCTCTGATGCATACAACAGCAGACGGGCCACCAGGAGCGGTGTAGATTAATGAGGGGGCAGAACCTTTTGGCAAGTTCTTCTAATTATTGAAGCATTTGTGGCCTTAATAAGAGCTAGCTGTCTAAGATTAATGGCCGTCGCTCCGAAAGAGTGTCCTCCTGAATTTCAAGAAGTTCCAACCAAAGCGAAGAGTATTCAGTGTTTGAGCATTCAGCATAAACGTACATAATCCAAGCGTTCTCCATCAAAGGTAACAATCCCGAGCTGGTGGCTTCTCTATCCCCCATCAGGCCTTTTGGTCAATGTAACTGAGGCGAATACATTTATTGGCCAATTGTACTGGAAAATTCTAGAAAGACTTCAAGGTCCTCCCTTCACAAAGGGGCCTTATGCCTTGACAAATCAATATGATATTCCCTACAGGTACTCATTTAAGCTGAATTCCAGGCAAATGGTTAAATACTGTAACAAGGACACTCCACTGTAGTCCAGGTAAATCAAGTAGAATGCAGTTTATTAAAGGACAAACACAAAATAGCCTGCAGCAGCAGCATAAGACAGTCCTTTATATGGCTCAGTAGCTTTCCTCATGAGCCCTCACTCTGCTCTCCCAGCAGTGTGTCCCAGCGGTCCTAGGGTCACCGACCTTCCTGACCTCTCCCAGCCTTCCCTGGCTGTTCCACGTGTCCCACACGCACCTGAGTCTGCTGTGGCTTTGTGCTTCCTGCACCTACACAACTCCAACACTCCTCTCTGAACTCTGGTCCAGACTCCTAATAAGGCTGCTCTCAGCCACCTGATCCAGCTATACTGGTCATTGGCAACACCTGGCCCCAGGACTGGAGATTTCATCCCACCCAGTGCTCTACGAAATCTCCAGAGCTCCAGATCCCAGCTACATTTAGGAAAACTTGGAAGAACCTGAAAAGCCAGGTTCTTCCTTATAACCTGAAAAGCCAGGTTCTTCCTTATAACCTGCTTTACTTTCTGGGGCCTCTCAGCACCTTTGGCTGAGAGTCCTGGGTACCAAGGTCGCCATCCTCCACAGTGGCATTGGCTTACACTGCCACAATACACAGATGTGGAAGTGGTTTTACCTGTCAAAGGATTTGACAGGTCCATTCAGTCATGTGATTTACATAGCTCTGCCACACAGCCTAGCCCTTCCTGGTGAGGCAGGAGATCTGATTTGTTTTCTGCTGCAGTTCAATAACAGTTACAGGTCTTTTCCCTCCCATGGCCTGTAACTGGACAGCTATAGAAGAAGCAGCAGGCCAATGACCTCATATCTTTCTCAGTCTGCTTTCTCCTCCTATCAGCATGTCCTTTGTTAGCACGTGTGCACTGCAGCACAACTAACTGGCTACTTGTGCTGCTTCTCCCTGACTGAGCTCTGCTGTACACGGGCTTGCAAGAGGCAGATACCAAGTCAAATTCAGGTACTTACACTGCTTGCATTAATAAAACACATGTCATGATGTATCAATGAGCTGCATTAATTTGTGTCTTTTATATCTGCCTGGAGTTCAGCTTTAATGGTAAAATCATTTTGTTATCCTGACCCAAAGAAGGATTGTGGATCTGTTTAAAGGCTGCACTTGAGCTATATCCTCAGCCTGTTCATGCCTTGAGAATGTATGTTCCATGTGGAGTGCCTGGGGTGCAGTGATGGTGCCTTTGTTTTGTACAATGCAAAACCAGGAAGTGGACCTGGTGGCATAGGACCAGCACTGGGATCATCACATGGGTGGCATAAGACCAGCACTGGGATCATCACATAGGTGGCATAGGACCAGCACTGGGATCCTCACATAGGTGGCATAGGACTAGCACGGGGATCATCACATGGATGGCATAGGACCAGTACTGGGATCATCACATAGGTGGCATAGGACTAGCATGGGGATCATCACATGGATGGCATAGGACCAGCACTGGGATCACCACATGGGTGGCATAGGACCAGCGTTGGGATCACCACATGGGTATCATAGGACCAGCGTTGGGATCACCAGATGGTTGGCAAAGGACCGGCACTGGGATCATCACATTGGTGGCATATGACCAGTCCCAGGATTACCACATGGGTGGCATAGGAGCAGCACTAGGATGATCACATGGTTGTTCATTATTGTCAGTTCACCTAAAGCTTTTATTCCAATTTTTGGTGGATGTTGGCGTTTTGGACAACACATGAGCTTGTTCTGACTTACAGAAGCTGAAGCAGTAAGATCTCTGCACCAGCAGAGGGGCGGCCACAGCGTCCCAGGTTGCTAAAAGCTCTCAGCAACCTGTGACGCTCTGTCTGGCTTCCTGCCCAGCTCACTGACGTCTTCGGTTGCCAGGGAGCTGAGTGAGATGCTCTGGCTGGTGTCCCGCCAAGCTCCTGGCAACCATTGACATTTCTGAGCTGGGTGGGACCGGACAGAGAGCCACTGACAGCATGGCTGTAACACAGCCACCCATCCCACTGCATCTGCCTACCCCTTCCCTCGCGGACAATCACTGTCAGAAAAGCCCCCCTGAGAAGCAGCGCTAGCCCCTGCCACCCTGCTCTACAGCCTCAGGCAGCACATAAGGTAGGGACAGCCCTGTGCCTTGTCATACACTGACATATTTGGTGTCACCGGAAAAGGAATAAAAGAGAAAATATTCCCAGTTTGGACACAGTTAGCCGGTTATAACCCTTCCCTTCTTTATTCAAAACTGAAAAAAGTTTTGAATAAGTTGAAGGCAAGCTGAATCCTTTAGAATTTTGTAAATAATCACTCACTGAATGTTCAGCATCGGGTGAGCTTCTTTAAAAAGAGAAACAGATAGCTGACACGAGCCAAGCTCAGAGCAGAACCAAGGCCCATTTCAAAATGCAAATAACACAACTTCTCTACAGAATTAATTTTTCAAAAAGTTTTAAAAGGTGAATGGTCTATAAGCCCTCTGGAAGGGTTCTATATCTAGAAGTTCCTTTGGATAACATACAGTAGTTGATATACCTGTTGGGTGATGCAACACAATGTTTTATATGCACATGTTAATACGGTTACAGGTTCAAAGGCCAAGTCCAGAAAAATATTTGCCAAATCAGGTCAGGTGTCGGATAACCAAGTGGGTCCTTCTATTTCTCTGGGACTCTGATCTTCGGAAAGCCTTACTGATTTGCTCTGTGATCTCCAACTCCAATTGTGACAATTACTGTGATATTTAGTTTTAGGCACAGGGAAGTAGGTTACCACTCTGATGAATCCTCCATTTACCTCCGGAGAGTTCGCTTTCCATCTTCAGATGACCTATAATGATTGTCACTAGAGATACAATCACTGAAAAGTTTGATTAGTCGTTGTTTGGCCAAACTTTTTTTTAGAAAATTGGAAGCCTTGGAATTTCTGGACCAGACATCCCATTGAAGTCAATAGGTATCTACACCAGGGTCTTAGAATTGTGGATCATAGCGAATGATGCAACGTTGTGCAGATTGGTTTGGGATATTCTCAACAGCTCTGCTTGTTGTGGCCAAAAAAATTGAAACATTTGGAGGCAGTCTGGGAAGCCTAGAGGTGGCCCCTAGCAGCTCTGGAAGCCCTAAAATTGCCAGGGATGCCAAGATAGAAGGATGGGACCTGGTGGCACTGGCAGTCAGGGTACTGAACCGTCAATACAAAATTGGACATCCAAACTCCTAAAATTTAGTTTGAATCCAATGCTGTCTGAATTTCGGGATCAACTCTAATTATCCACCATTCTGGCCAATTGGATTGGGAAGATATTTTACATCTTTTGGCACCCCAAGAGCTCTGTAGACACCTCCAGGCCAATTAATTCTGCACCAGTCACTGCTATTCATCTGGTATAGATAGAGACAGTGCTAAGCGCTGTCTGTCACATCCATAAACATGCACTCTGGGTACAAGAATGTATGTTTATGTCAGAATAATAGAAGGATAAGGCAGTAGTCAGATCTTCTACGTCAGATGTAGATTAAAGCCCAATAAAAAAGAAAAAAAACTTGTCTGGAGCTTTTTACTCACCTCATAGTTCTAGCCGACCTGTGACAATGAGACTGTCAAAGGTTGGCTCAGTAGATCGGGAGGTGAGCGAACACATACCGGCGTTCGCTCACTTCTCGATCCTGTCACGGCTCTCTGCTGTGACAGGAGAGGGGCTGGGTTCCCCCCTGCTCCGATCCGCCAGCGCTGACTGGGGGAACGGACGGGGAGGGGGTTGCGTACCTGACTTCGGAGCTGGCTGCGGGTCACAAAGTACCGGCTCACGGGCCGCAAGTGGGCTGCGGGGGAGGGGGGCGGATACAGCTGGCTCTGCCTCTAGATAGGCAGAGCCAGCTGTCAGTCACGCAGCTGGGCGGATCCCGGCACAATTGTCGGGATCCGCTTCAGCTGCGGCATCTCAGTATAGCCTCTCAGCTGTAACTCACGGTATACTGAGCCTAGGGTGACGGGGGGACGCTAGTTTGTGTCTTCCCGTTAGCCTAAGGAGAACTATGGGGAAAAGCCTTAACCCCATAGTTCTCCTTTAAGAGCTGAATACTCATCTCCCCTGTTGCCGGTGCCACCAAAAACTGCTCGAGAGAAGCAACCCACATCACTACAGGGTGCAGTGTGGTGTGGAGTTTGGCAGGAGGAACCAATAAGTGGAGTGGGGAATAGGAAATTGACACTCCAGGAAGTGTGGCTTCTGAAGACATCACAGGAAGAGTTCTCTTCAATGAATGAAGCATCCTTCTGCAATGCAGGAGAGGAGAGTATTTACTTTCTTCTCTTTCAGGGACAGCTTTGAGGTCAGCTTCATTTTCATGATAGAATAGCCTTAAATTGGGCCAATCATAGTAGAATTATGAGAGATGCCATTGTTTTCTAGACATGTGCACCAGCAAAAAAATTGTTTTGTTTCGATTCGGATTTTGCTTAATTTCGTTTTTCGGAAATTTGGGTCCGAAAGTCAATTCGTTTCGCAATTTGGATTTCGGACGAAATTCGTTAGCGGTACGAAATTTCGTCTCTAATTCGTTTCGTTCGTTCGTTGCAGCAAAGTGACAATTAAGAGGGAAACAAGTTTTTTTGTTCTCAAATGTCACTTTGC